AAGAGTCAAACTATTACCAAAGCAAACAGATTAATAAATCCAGTATTGATCTGCCCAGAGCATGGGATGCCTTTGCTGATCCCTTTGGAAGCTCTTCCCACAGCAGTGCTCTGGGAATTCAGCAGGATGGGCCATCATTAATGGGAAAGCATTAATCACGATCAGAAATAATAAAAGGAGAGAAGAAAAGGAAGGGAATCTCAAGGCTTCACTAGATGGGTTTCTGATTCTCCTCTTTGCCATGAATTAATGTTATGGCCAGGCTGTAATATTCCTTGGAAAAACAAGGAAAAACCACTGCTCCCCAATAACTCTGTACAATAATTCCCTAAAAAGAACTGATGCAAACCTGCAGACAGGAAACCAAACTGAGCTCAGAGCCAACCCCTCTGGGTGGCCCTGGCAGCAGCAGGATTTGGGCATTTTTTTCCAGGTTGCTGTTGTAAAGCAGCACTGATTTATTCAGGCACAAAAGATTAAGGGTGTTGGAGAAGATGTAATTTAAAAATTCAGTGTCTGGTGAGGACCTGGATGCTCCCATAGAAATTCTATTTATCTCTGTGAATGAAGATTTGATAATGCTGCCTAATGGAACTTTATCACATTTTCAGATGTTTTCCTGCTGGATTATTGAAATTCTCGCTCCTGTAAGAAGAGAGGACTCCCGAGGAAATCTGCAGCTTGCAGGCACCAAAGGAGGAAAATAAAAATGTGCTTTCCCACCTTAGGCCAGGGTGGGGAAGGATATTTATCCAGCTGAAAGCAGGAGGAAAATCAGGAAGGCAGAGCATGGCCTTGCCTGGCTGGAATGTTGTTTCCCACACCAACACCAGAGCATAATTAACAACAGCTGCCCACAAATATGGATTTGATTTTTTTTTTTTAATTATTATTTCTCCTGTCTGAAGCTCAGTGGACACGTTCACCATCTCATTTGTATGCAGAGCTCTGATCTGCCAGGGACACCTGCCAGTCTCCAGCAACTTGAGGCAAAGATCAATCCATTTTCTAATTAGGGATGGGAGTTAATGGCAGCTGAAATGACCCCTGGAAATCCAGCAGGTCCTAAACAATGATTTCTCAGGGTGCTGCCTGCCCCAGAGCATTTCCTTTTGTAATCTTCTCAGCCTCTGCACTCTCCTGGATGATTTATGGTGTCTGGGGGCTCCTTGGCAGTACTTTCTGTGCTGATAAAGAGGAAAACCTTGACTGTATCTTAAATTGTCAACAAATGCTTTCAAATTTCCAAAGAGCTCTTGTGTTTGTCCTTTGTATTTCCAGAGTTTAAAAAAAAAAAAAAAAGTTCCAGCCTGAAACTGCCCTTTCCTACAGAATAATGCCCATGAGCATCTCGTTATTGAGCCCCACAATCAAAAAATCAAAATGTGTTTAATTCCATTGGCCTCACCCCATCATTCCCAACTGGATTCCCAACCTCGTGGTGACAGCCCAATTAATTCTGCTGGCATCATTAATGAGAGGCTGATTATTTGAGAAACACACCTGGCAAAGAGTGAGTTTCTAAAAGGGAAATTACAACTTGAATAGAAGGAGACATCAAAAAGCGTTTGCCTGCAGCAAGGAATTCAACAATTGTGTTTAAATTTAATATAACATGTGATAAAGAGTTGAGCTGGAGTCAGAATCTGTCACTGGCTCTCCCACAATCTTATTTATGGCTCTATATAGGCCCAGCTCCATGACTTGAGCAGGCAGAAACCTTAATACTTTGTGACACAACTGGGCTGAGCCATCTAATATCACCCATAAATCCTCAAAAAACAAATACTCCTTCAAATAATTATGCTGTTCCAACATATTAACTTCCCAGGCAGAGATGAAATGTCCTGTTGTAGGGAAAACCACAGAAAAGCCTTGTCTGTATCCCAAGCTTCAAATGAAAAACCTTTAATATTAGGATCACACTCTGCACTGAATAAATGTCAGAGAAATAAACTTGACGGAACAATATATTTTTCATGCTCTAAAATGAATTTTAAAAAGGACCTAGAACAGGAAACTACAAAGTCTTTAACCCTCAGGGGAAAAAAAAATCAAATACCACCCAGGTCAGTAATAATCTAATGTCAACTGTTTCCATAAAAAATGGGCAATGATAAATAATCAAAGCATTTAGTGGGAGCTGTGGGGATCTGGGTTATTCTCAGTTATTGTGTGTTATTCTCTGTGCATGTTGATGAGAATTTTAAAGAAAAAGGTGATGTTTCTCCCAGCCATGGTTTATAACCCAGAGCATGGAAATCTCTCACTTTATTTTCCAGATCCTGATTTCCCTCAGCCTGCTTGGTTTAGGACACGAGGCAGGTTTGGCTGATCCAGAATTCCAGAATTCCAGAATTTCAGAATTCCAGAATTCCAGAATTCCAGAATTTCACAATTCCAGAATTCCAGAATTTCTGCCCCCATGAGCTCCTGGCATTGGGATAATTGCCCTTCCACTCACACACCCCCTCTGATCACTGCTCTCGTTTGTATGGGCAGAAAAGGTAAAAGAAATGCTCATCCCACATAAATTATTTTCATTTCTTGCAGTTAACTACAAGAAAATGGCCAGCCCTGAGCAGCCCACTCAGCAAACAACTGAATGTAAAAGTTGAACAATGTGTGGGCAGAGCTGTTTATTTCCACCCCTGCATCAAAGCATTTATTTCTCTCCTGCATCCACCTCATGCTGGCCAATCTTTCTTTATATTAAATGTAGAGATCAGCACAGAGTTCTCTGCTCCAAGAGACACGGGATCATTTCTGCTGCACTTCATCAAGTGTGAGGAAACACAAAATCTCTGTCCTTTGGCCAGGCACTCCAAACTCAGGATAAAACAGAAAACCCCAGTGACAGACAACACACTCAGCGTCCCAGGACTGAAAAATCAGCTTTTCTTGCCAAGAAACACTTCACTGAAAGAAAATAAAACAAAAAAAACCCTGGTATTAGCTAACCTGAAATAGCAATTTTAAAGCACAATCTCAGGATACAGAAGAGTTGCTTTTATCATGGTGTAAAAACCTATGGAAATTGTAGCTGGAAGCATGGGAGGATTTCATGCCCTGGAATACTTTTTGCATTTGATTTCCATGAAATGTCACATCCGAGGCCACCTGCATTCATCTTCTCAAGTGTAATACACTGTCCTAAAGGTAAAAAAAGCAATTTAAAAATGCCCTGGTGTTTCTCTTGGCTCTTCTGTCCTTCTGGCAAAGCTGACCTGTGATGTTTTTAACAGAAGCTGCTGTCACACCTCGGGCCAGCCCTTTAAAATGTTTTTTGACATATAAGTACATTTTATATTATTGGGCTTTTCACAAATATTAAAATGAATACTATAATGTTGAAAAATTTTGCTGTATGAATATAGTTTCTTTTAGTTCTGCTATTAACAAAACTTAGAAATAGTAGTGTGATAAATAGATATATTTTTTTTCTTGGATTATAACACGGTGATGTAAAAAGCTTTTGTCCATGTAACTAAAACATGGTAATGCAAAAAGCTTTTGTTCATGTAAATAACTCAGGGAATGGCAAAAAAAATAATAATCAGGAAATCCTTCACATTCTTGGATTATTGGTGACACACCAGAACCCCAGGGAAGGAATTTATTGATCTTCCATTTAAAAATATTGATTTACAGGTTAGAGGGGGATGATTTTGAATAATGCATGAAGGGCCATGAATATGCAACAAGTTGATGCATTTAAAGAAATGTTTTTTGAATTTGTGTGTGCTCTTGGCTAAAGGCTCAGCACCTTTATAACCTTTTGTTTTATTGCTTGTCTCTTATTTTCTTTGATTAAACCTTTTAACATTTATCAGGAAAGTGAACCTTGTTTTTCACACGTGTCTTGCCCTGATCCTGGTCTGGATTAAAAAAAATTACAACACCAATCTTATAAACCCCTAATATAAATCCTACAAACCCACAATAGGAATCCTACAAACCCACAACAGTGAGAGGAATGATGGATTTGCCTTTACAGACAAACTGGAGGTTTGCTAATAAATGAAATTGGATATTGAAAGATGAAAGAAGCAATGGGGAAAAATTCCGTAAGAAAAAAAAAAATTAAAAGGGAGGGTTGTACATTAGAGGGGAATCTCAGGTATCAGGGTTTGGGAATCTGGAGCTCTCAAGTACCTCAGTTCATGGGGAAAGAGAGAGGGAAATTGGGATAAAAAGGGAGGCGAGTCCTCAAAATTTTGAGAAACCCCAGGGGAAAGCCCCATGGCCTCTCCTTTATTCTAATAAAGTAAAAGGACTCCTCTGTCTCTTTTTTGGACATAAACCTCTGGTGTTTGCGGGTTAATTTTCCTGACAACACCAATCCTATATCCCAGAACATCAATCCTATATCCCAGAACATCGATCCTATAAAACCGGGACTATTTTAGGGCCGGATTTTCGCCTCAGCCGGGCCCGCCCGCGCTCCCCGCCCCGCTCCGCCCTCAGCGCCCGGGGCCGCCGGGCCGCGGTAAGGAACGAGCTCCGGAGAAAGAAAAAATGGCTCCTGGAGCCCGTCCGTGAGGGAAAAGAGGAGGAAAAATAGCTCTGGGAGCTCGTCCATGAGGGAAAAAAGGAGGGAGGGGAATGCAGGGCGGCTCCTGGAGCCGTGAGGGGCGGGCACGGAGCTGAGGGAGCGGGGCCTGGGGAGGCCGCGGGGCCGCTCCGGGATGGAGCCCTCAGGGAATAACAGAGACCCAGGAGACATGGAGGGACAAGGGATGGAGGGACAGGACACGGGGAATGGCTCCCACTGCCCCAGGGCAGCGCTGGATTGTTGGGAATTTAGGAATTCCTGGCTGGGATGGAATTCCCAGATTTGCTGTGGCTGCTCCTGGATCCCTGGCAGTGCCCAAGGCCAGGCTGGAGCAGCCTGGGATGGTGGAAGGGTTTTTTTTTTTTTCCCGTGGGATACTGGAAGATTTCCTCCCAGGGACAATGTAAGGTTTTTTTTCCCTGAGATACTGGAAGGTTTCTTTTCCCCTGGGATGGTGGAAGGGTTTTTTTTCCCCACTATCTCTTCTAACCATGCTCTTTCCATTTCAACTCATTCCCCCTTGTCTCATCACTACCTGCTGTTGTAAACAGCCTTACCTCATCTTTCCTGGAAGTTCCTTTCAGGTACTAGAAAGGGGGAAATTTGCATTTATTTATTTATTTTTTAATGAAGATTTTTATCCAGTCATTTCTGTAATGCACAACAGATTTGTAAGGAATGCTGCTCAGATTTCACAGCTAATATTCAGTGCTAATTGATACTGTACATTTATCCTGTGGATCTGAACTAATTCGTGCTTTGGCTTGGTCACAGCAGAGCTGTGATTTTTCCCTCCTGTTGTGGTGGTTAAATCAGGTGTGATGTGGCTGGAAGAACTCAATGTATATCCCATGCTGCTGTAAATAAACCTGTGAATCTGACCTATTTTTGTTTTTATTTTTATTTGCAGTGCTGCTCCATGGCAGAGAGCTGTGAGAAGGGGCTGGGGATGAGCCAGAGTCACAGCAATTCTGCTTTGGATTATTCAGGAGACACCTTTGAGTCCTTCAGTGAGGAAGAGGAGAGCCAAGCAAGATGCTGGTGTTGCACAGAGGATTTGGGAAGCTCATCATCACAGGCAGGCCAAAGTCCTGCAGGTATGCAGAGCTCTCCCTGCTCGAGGCCTGTGTTTCACAGCTTCAGAAAGTGCAGGGAGGCCTTGAATCAGCAAAAAGAAACGTGTGAAAATTGCATACAGTGTTCCTGCAAAGTGCTGATCCCTGCTTCAGACAGCTCCATGGGAAATCCTTCCTTAGTAATCTTGTGATGCTGAAATTCTGTTGGCACCTCACAAAACAATTCTCTCTTCTTTTTACCATGGCTGGGCCATAAAACAATTTTTCCATGTGATACTTCCAGGATTTGAAATCCTGAAGAGGGCTGGGAGGGGAGATCTGAATGTGGAAATACTTCAGGTAAAAGACAAACTTTTCTCATGGTTTTTTTTGGGTTTGTTTCAGTAAAATTCAGAATAAACCCAAGCCCCAAAGCAAGAGCTGAGATCCCCTGGGCAGGTGAACCTTCACACCTGGGGAGATTTGAATGTGGAAATCCTTCAGGTAAAAGCTGCATCAGATGAGAGATAAAACAAGCTGAGATCTGGGGTATTTCTGTGGCTCAGGGTTTCTCCTCCCTCAGCAGGAAGAACTGGCACATTCAGGTGGAGAATTATTTGCCTCCCACTTTGCTTTCCTCACAACGTGTGCTCCAAAGTTGCCTTTTTTTTCCTTGCAGAGGAGGAGTCTGAAGCTGTGGAAAGAGCTGCCACAGGAAAATGGATGGATGTGAAAAATAAAGACACTGGGATTAGGCCAGACAAATTTGCCATCACAGCTCCTGCTGGTGAGTTTGGTAACTTCAGCAGAGGTTTTAATTGTTCCTTTTGGAAGGAGGTGTAAACTTGACTTAAATTTTATACACAGGCTATTAAATTAAGCTAGCTAATTAGCCTGGCTTAATTAGCCAAGTAATTAAATACAAGGTTTGTCTTTTATGCTTTCTTGGAGAGCAGTTTGTCTCCCATATCACACATGGCTTCGATGCTCCCCCCATGTAGTGACATTATCCTGCTGATGCATTACCACAAAACCTGGAAAAGTACATTAAAAATGTCCCCACATTGGACATTTAATTGTTGAATTTAATTCAGTTTTTTCCTCTCCAGCTGTTGAGGAAATTTGGGCATTTTTCCCTCTGGTATAAGCATGACTTTGGAATTTATTTTGTGAAATGTTTTTTTTTCCCCCTGTTAATCAACAGTATTGATAATTGAATGATTTCTTTGCCCTGTTTTAGTTCCTTTCCCAAGCTGAGGGAGGCAGCAGGGCACCGATTTTGGCAGGAACAATGGAGCAGCTTTGCCCAAATAATGCTGGAGTGTGGGGAGGAGGAGGAGGAGAAGGCAAAGGAGGAAGGAAAAATCCCTTTCCATGTATTGCTTCTGCAAGGAACTGTGAGAGCAGATGGTGGCATGCAAGCCCTGCTAAAACCTGTCAAAAAAGTGGGTCAGAGATGCTATTTTTAATTAAGAAAAAAGAGCAAGAAAGCTGTAATTGAGCAAAAAAATAATGGGAGCAGAAGGGGAATCTTCCTCAATGTTGGTGGGAAGTGAGCAAACCTGGAGTTTTTGAAGGTCACTGGAAGAATGATGAACCAGGAGATCCATGGGTGCTTTGTGGCATGGCATTTGTGCTCAAAGCACCCATTTATCCTAAAAAAAAAACCACCTCAGGTCATTTCTGGGATTTTGGGAAGTGCAGAGCTCCTTCCCCACAGTGGTCAGTCAGTGCTGGGGTGTTGGAACCCACAAACCTGGGATTTCTGGGATTTGAGGACTTGAGCCCTTGGAAAAAGCTTCAAATGGAGGTGATGGAGTTAAAATCACAGGTGTGAAATTCAATAAAAGTGTGTGGTGTCAAGTGGTGAAGGCTTTGGAATATGGGAGTTTTTAATTTATGGTAATAATTATGGGACAAGATGGAAATTCTTGGGCATAGCTCCTTTCCTCCTCCCAAAAGTTTGGTCATTTAGTCAAAATTATAAAAAATGTAAGTGTTAGTTCTCTACTGGACTGTTTAGCTTTAAAATACCTTGTAACTAACTAAATTCATCTCCATTTGCTCACTTTTAGTTGGTAGCTGGAAGTGTTACAAAAATCTCTGTACTTTAGATAAAATTTAATAAACAATCAAGTCCAAACACACAAAAATTCATCTCCTGTGTTTTAATCCTGACTCTTGAGTAAAGACAGAAGCCTGAGGTAAATTGGTGCTTCCAGTGATCCATATGAAGAGCACAAATTACACTTTATGCTTTTTCTTTGCTTGCAAACACAGCACCCAGCCATGTTATCCTCAAATAAATCAGAATTAGTCAGAGCTGAGATCCCCTGGGCAGGTGAACCTTCACACCTGGAGAGATGTGAATGTGGAAATATTTCAGGTAAAATACAAATTTTTCTCATATTTTTTGGGTTTCTTTCAGTAAAATTCCAGTCCTTGCTCCCTAATTTATATTCTTTCTGAAATCCCTGTTAAACAGGAGTTCATATGAAGAAATA